GCCTTGCGGGGGAGGCGGGCGAGCCGGGGAGTGCGGCCCCCGGAGTTTCTCCACGCAAATCAGGGCGCACCGTGGGTCCCGCTCAGCGAGGTGCCGGCGTGGCTCAGGTGGAGCCACACCAGCCCCTGTTACACACAGAAATAACTGCCGCTTCACGGGTGCGTTTCTTTCTTCTTCCCCCCGCTCAGGAGAAGGAGCAATGTAATCTGTTAAATGCCAGCGTTGCGTCCTGATGCCGTCGTGGAAACCGCGCTGCTCGGTGAGGCACTGAGGGACAGCTTTCTTGACAGTCATAATTTGCTTTATTCAGAGCATCATCCCAGCCCCAGTTTCTGTTGCTGCCCAAAGCCTAGCGCTTTTCCCCGCGACAAGGCTCCTTTGTACTGCAGTATTTGGTAGCCTTCTTCTGGGCTCTGAGGGCAATACGTGACCTGTGTAAAAATGCTGCGATATTGGGGTGAGATTCCGGTTTCATCTAATCAGGCCAACCGCAGCTCCTTTGACCTGCTTCAGCGTGAGTTTCGTACTGTGGAAGTCCAAGATCCTCCATTGCATCAGCCATCCGCAAACAAACCCCGGCCGACCACCATGCTGGACATCCCCTCGGAGCCCTGCAGCCTCACAATTCACACCATTCAGCTCATCCAGCACAACAGGCGGCTGCGCAGCCTGATCACCATGGCTCAGGCTCAAAACCAGCAGCAAGCGGAGGGCATAAAAACTGAAGACAATGAACCTCTGCCATCTTGTCCGGCCTCTCCACCTCTCCCTGATGACCTGTTCCCTCTGGATAGCAAAACCCCCAAAATGCCATTTCAGCTGAGGCACAGTGACCCAGAGAGTGATTTCTACAGGTGTGTTGGTATTTCTTTGGGTTAGTTCTTGGCTGAAGGAAAGCTGAGTGTTTTTAAATATATATGTAGTTGTGTCGATTCCCTTAGGCTGAAGGGTCAAACAGTTGTATGTAAAGTATAAAACAGGCTTCGAAAAGGAAAGATTTAGATTTCTCCGGTGTGGATAACATGTACGTTGTTTAAAATAAATGTGCTTTTGTTTCCTGTCTATAAAATGTGGATGTATAGTGCTGATTTCTGTCTCGTTAGTGCTACGCTAAATGTTTGTGAATGGTTTTGCTATCTTCAGTGGTATTTTGACAAGCTTAGTTATAGGATGTGAAGTCTCTTCTATTTAGACCACTTACTCCCAACTATACTTGCCTTATTGTAGATGAAAATCCCGAAGACGCATGACTAGGTTTTGGATGTTTAGTTGTAGGTTCTGAAAGGATGACTTGATACCATATTTGTAAGATTTCAGTGGCCAAGGACCTGTGACGTAGTACCTATCACATTTCACCCTGTTTGTTGGTGTAATTCTGGTCAGAGGTGGCGATGAGTATGGGTGAAGGGAATTCTTGTCTCTGGCTCCACCAGCCAAGGGCTGGAGAAAATGTAAAGGAAGGTTGCATTGCTTCTACCTCTGCAGCCAATCTTTGATTAAATAGTATTGCCACCACCTCCCTGTCTACCCCTCTGACAAACACTAAATTCACAAGGAGGTGTTGCATTTCTTGCAGGATCTCACGATACTTTGTAGGTTATGTGCATTTAAATTCAGGGATTAATCCTTACTACTCTAACTTTCTGTTCTTAGATTAAAGACTGTACACCAATGAACATGATGTGGGAGAGGATAATACGTTTTAGTTTTTAAAATGGGGAAAATGTGCATCAATAAAATATAGTGTATCAGTTAAATGCCACTGAGATCTTCAATGGCCTGAGGTTGTATAAAATACATTTTATTCAAAGATGTTTCTTTTGGTAACATAGTCTCTCTGAACAGTAGAGCGATTCTTTAGTGCTGTTTGTGGAGGAACGCCATCATCCTTCTCGGAAGAAATGAAGTAATTAGCCTAGAGTGGTGAAGGGAAATCCAGTCCTGTGAGGATAAAGTCTGAGCCCTGTGACTCCTGCTCTTTCTGGCCCTGTGGTTTGTAGAACTGAGTAGTGTTCTGTGCTGTCCTCCCTGGTGGCTTCAAGCTTTAAGTTCAGTTTTCTGTGGCTCTGTCCGTGTTTTGGGGGCTGCTTTGTCTTTTTGTTGTCCCCTGTGAGTTTCTGGGGTCTGAGTAAAGAAATGTTATTTAGCAGTCGACCACATGGGGGAGTTTAAGGACTAGGTTGTAAAAACTGGATAGACAACTTTGAAATGAAATGTTTTGTGGCTGACAGAGAGTGGATTTATAATGAGCTGCCGTGTAGGCTAGAATTTAATTGTGTGCTTGCTAAACCAAACACATTTAAGCTTTTCCAGGAGGAAAGGTTTGAGTCTGTTGTTGCATGCTTGTTCTTAACTGTTTTAAGACACTTACATGAATTAAGAATAGCAGCTGCTGTTATAGTAGTAAAAATAAAGTTATATGATTTGCCAACGCTTGTTCTTAGTGTGTAAAAACAATCTAAGGAAGACCATTCTTCCCTTTGATAAAACATGGTAGTGCTTAATTTTATGCTGCCTTCTGAAGTGCAGAGTTACAGTATTCAACTAAATCCATATTTTAATTCCATTTTCTTTGGCAGTAACATGGGTCTGAGAAGCAGTGTATAGGTATATTTAGACATCAGAAGAAAGGAAGATACGAGCAGCCAGCCTGAATCAGACCACAAGTTTCTTTGTTACAATCATGTACTCTTCTGTTTCCTTGTTATTCATTTTCATCCTTTGACCCCACACCCTTGTCTTTTATTTTGTTATTCCCTGGATTCGTTTTGGTTTTCCTCCCCTCTGCCCTGCCCCATACCTGTAACCCCTACCTCCTCGTCCCTTTTGAGATGAAGAAGAGGCAGAACCTGATTTGCTGCTATTTTTCAGTTGTTTTGGACTTTTCAACCACCCAAAATCTGTACCATCAGCAGTTTTAATCACGATGCTATTCCTCTCCTCCATTTTTCCAGACTGTTTATAAATATGTTGAAACAAACCTTGATTCTGGCACAGATCCTCGAGGGAAGACCTGGGCTCCACAGTGGAGATCTCTTACGTACTTGCTTGTTGATGGATTTGGAGGACTCTAGTAGGTTCATGAAGCAGGTTTTCCATTTACAAAAGCTGTCTGGACTCTTTCTGAGTGTATCATGTTTACCCATGTGTCCTCTAATTCTGTTCTTATAATTTCTTTGAACTTCCGTGATGCACCAGAATATATCAGGCTTCCCAGCCTGCAGTCCTTCACATCTTTTCTGAAGCTATTAGAAGAAAATGTTTTCACATTTTTTGGCTTCTGGTCCTCACGGGCCAAGGCAGTTTAAGCAAGAGGTGACTCACCACGGCCATTCAGCTATTTCATCCTTGAATTCCTTTAGTGTTCCTGGATGAATTACCATATGGTCCTGGTGATTTGCAACTGTTGATGTTACAGTTCTTGGAATACACAATAAGGGATTAACGTTTGTTTTTGGCTGGTATAGAAACAGAAGGTAAGCTTAAAGCATAATCGATGAAGAACGAGTAAGGAACTGTAGACTTGAAACTACCATTTGAACAGGAGGCTCTTACCATAATACGGCTGCTAGCTTTTCCTTCTTTGTTCAGCTTCCTCCGATGCGCATGGATCCATCTTCAAAAGAAACCTAACCTACTCATTATGTGCCTCTTCAGATGCTGCTTCTTGTGTGTGCATGGTTGGTTTCTTAACAGATTTCTCTGCCATTCTTTCATTTGCATTCCTGACCACATCGGATGTGTGCTTTGCATTGAAAGATAATCTGTGAATGAAATTGGGAGCTTGCAACGGGAAGACAGTTCATGGCAGAAAGGCTTGTAGTTAAGAAATGTCTGTACAGAAATAGGGAAGCATGTGTCGGTGGGATAGCAGGTTTAATGTTGGGAAGGATTTGGAGCAGTGGAAATTAGAGCAGGCAGAACATACTTCCCCTGCTGGACTAAGCACTTCGGCTTAGCCCCTAAACATGTCTGGTCTTCTGGGTTGGGCCACTGGGACCCAATTTATTTTCCAAATGTTATGTATTACCTCTTGCCATTATCTATTGAGCAGTTTCTTTTTATACCCGTGCAGCCTTCTGTACACATAGCAGAGAGATTTAAAAAGAGGCTTACTCAGGATGAGGTGGAAAGAGGCCCTTTTCCAAAAGGAAGCAACTTTCTGGTTTGCGTTGGTGTGCTGTGTACTTTGGTGCACTCTCTGACTAGTATAATCCTGTTTTTTCCAATGTTCTCCTTTATTTTACTGTTTTGGGGAAAATGGCTGTGATGCGACCTTGTTGCACCTCATTTGGTAGAAATTCAACTCCACAATGTAATGTTTCATAAAATTGATGTGTTCATAGGAAAAACAATCCCGCCCTCCATCTGCTACTAGCTTATGCTCACCTAGGAGGGAGCAGAGCACTTCAATCTGTTACTGCAGTTGAGTGAACCTCGGCTGTCGATCCTTGTATTGACTTAGCCCAAACACTTTCCCCTGGAGATAGCTGCATGGGAAATGAACCACGAGATCCCCCTCCCTCTAAGAAAAACAGCCTTACAGGAGAGGAGCTTGGGTGAATGGATTCTGGTGCCTTTGGGGAATGTCTTGTTGACACAGAAAATGGTCCTTTTGTGAGTTCTGAAACCTTATGAATCCTGAAAATAAGCCTGTTTGGTATAAACGGACACTTTTTTCTGTTGTGAAGTTCTGCATGTTGCACGTTTGCTGGCAGCAGTGGGAGAAGGCTGGGCTTTGGGTCTGATGAATTCGTGGCTTGGCAGGTAGATTTCTGTCTGGAACATCATCTAGTGTTGGTGACCCATATATAAAAATATAGATCCTATTGGAAATACAAAATTGAAGAGCGACAAGTTGGCCAGTATTTGTGATAAATTTCATACTATATATTCTGTAGAGATGATCACCTCCAAGTCACAGGCCTAATTGCCAGTCTTGTTAACCTCTGGTGACAGAACTTTAGGGATTAAAGCACTCTTGTTTACTTGCAGCTATATGACCCTGGTAATATGTTCAATAGGTTTGGCTTTGGATGGTTGCTGGATGGGGACCCTTTCAGGAAAGCAGTAAGTGCTGCAGAGGGTAGTATTCTGCATAATGATAGTATCTGGAAGGGTGCTTTTGTAGGTGCTAGGTATACGGATGAGATCTAAGATCAAGGCTCTTTAGCTATGATCATCAGGGGAAAGAAATTGTTTGCTGGTCCTTTTTGGGAAGGCTTGACATTAGATAGCTGCTCTCAACTTAAATATATCTATATGGCTGTTTTTGTTTATGTGCGTTCTTATCAGACAGTACCTGAAAGTTAAAGGAGATGAAGAAAAAAAGATATTTTCTTATTTGTTGGTTTTCATTAACATCTACAAGAATATTTCAATTTTTGCTGTCTAATCAGGCTTTTAATCATCTTCCTCTATTGTTTATTGTGGGAAACAAGAAAACAAGAGAAGAAAACATAAGAAAAACAAAGCAAAATTGATTGACCTTACCAAGAACAAAAGGTGGGGATTTGGATTTGAGTACAGTACCTGAAATTTCTTTTCTTTCTTTCTTTAATTGATTAGGTTTCAAGTTGATTATATCCCTTTCAGCATAGTGACCTAGCTGCATTTTAATGCTGGCAATTAGTTTCTTTTCCTCTAGGAGTTTAAAAGAGATATAACATTCTCTGCTGCTTCTGAGCAGTGATAGGCATCCCTAAATGGTTGTTGTGCTCCACTTTACAAGTGGCTGAGTATCCTGCTTGGGCTTGCCAAATTCTGTGTCTAGTTTAAGTTTGTCCATAGTTTTTGAGTGGCAGAGCATCAATAATGGCTCTTTATTTGTCTCTGTATTAGGAGTAATCTGGTGTTCAGTGTTTTTGGTAGTGTAAGATGCTCTAAACTGATGGCTGCTGGACAGCTAGGTATGTCCTTTATATGTGTTAAAAAAGAAGAGATTCTTTTTTATAGGCATAAATTTTGATGGTTGTTTTCTGGTTGGTTTTGTTCGATGGTTGGTTTTTTCTGTTGTAACCTCCTGGTCCCAGTGTTGTATAAGACATGTGGCTGTTTGTGAACTTCAGAAATCTGTTGCTGGGAGGTGGAGGGGGGAGTGAGGGAGATGTAAAAACAGTACGTGTGACACCTGGTTTATAGGGGAACTGATGATCTTTTAATTCATCTTGTCAGAGCGCCTGCTGTCTTCTTTACAAAGTAGTTACATAATTGAGCAGGAATTGGGATGTGAGTAATTTTCCAGCAATTAATAACGGGTACATCCATGACCTGAGATCCCCATGCTGTTCTTAATATCCACTTAGAAATATCATCATCTGCAGCTTTTTATATAGCGTGATCCCCCCCTTTATCTGAGTAATCAGAAAGTGCTGAGCTGGTGCTCTTGAAAATGAATGATTTTGGTCCTGATAGCTCTAAGTTTAACCTTCCATTTTCACTCCTCTGAAACGTTATCTTTTTTTTACTGCTGTGTTTCAGTGGTTTTCTATGGGTCGGTTCTGAGGATCAGGGGGAGCTGAGTGAGGCTCTGTGACCCAGCGTCTCAGTGAGACGGAAGGGTACCTAATGCACTCGTGGGAGAGACGGAGTAGTGAGAATTTTATCAAGGCATCAGTGCTGTCTGTGTACTGTTTAGTCAGGTCTTGTTACTGGAAAGAGTGCGTGGTGATATGCAAGTAATGCAGGGTGAGAGCGAGGTGAATCTCAGGGTGGGCTGCGGAAGATGTTGGGAGAAATTGATCAGAAACAGATGAAGAGTGAAATTGTTAGTTTAATTCTGCCATTGGTGCTGAATGAAGTGTAAAAAAGTATATAAATACCATACTTAGCAGAAAGGAAATTTGATTTTTTGACATCAGCATTTGAAGACCGTGTTACTGATACGGGCAAATACATCACATGCATTTAATTGTGAGTTGAGAAATCTGGTAGAAATATGTTTACCTTTCAGAGGCCTTGCCTTATCGCATCTTCTCTTTTTCCTATGTGGAATTTCTATTTGTTAACTCATCTTGATGAAAAATTCGGTTGCCTTGACTGTAAATGAATGATGTTTGAAGTGCTCATGTCAGTTGTTCTCCATCTCCTCCACCCTGCGTGGTCTCTCCTTCCCGCTTAGCAACACCGAGAAGAGAGGTCTCAAACCCAAGGCCAGGGAATGCTGCTCTACAGCAGAACCTCTCCAGGCCTCCTCCCAGGGCCTGGTGTTCACTTCGTAGGTTGCATACGGGGATACTTCTTTCAGTGTCGTGCCCAGTGACTACTGGAAACGAGGGCAGGGAAATGGTCTTTTTGGCTACAGTGTACCTTTGTGAAATGCATGTGTATCCTGTTTCTTGCTTTTTATGTGTGTCTTTTGCATTATGAATTCAGATCTTGTCTATCCCAGAAGCCTTTGTATCTGACTATTAGGCCTGTGACATCAGAGATAATAAGGAAGAGAAATGTAATTAACTGAGAGGGGAAATGATTTGCATTCATGTTATTTAAAATGCCTTTTTTTGTTTGTGTCAAGGACCCATTTAATTCACATCTCCAGGAGAAAAGCTCTTGGGTGGGAAGGGAGTTGCTTAAGGGTTCAGAAGATTTGCATCCCACATTCATGAATCACCCAAGGAATCTTGCGGCATTAGAAGGGAAAATGAGAATTGGCAGTGCTGATTTGGAGGGAGGGGAAGAAGGGAAAGCAGGTAAACCCTTACTAGGTAGTGTTCACATGTAATGGAGAAGCTGTGGAGAACCCCAGACAATCTGCTTTCCCTTTGTACATCACCTTATTATTTACAGTATCTCTTCAACTGATACGTTCCTTTCAGTTTTTGGAGGTGTGCTATTTCTGTCTCTTCTGGTTTTTAGAGGAAAAGGGGAGCCAGTGACTGAGCTGAGTTGGTCCTCCTGCCGGCAGCTTCTCTACCAGTCAATGGCCACCATCCTGGCTCACACAGGCTTTGAGTGTGCCAATGAGAGTGTCCTGGAGACCCTGACGGACATTGCCCACGAGTACTGCTTGAAGTTCACCAAACTGCTGCGCCTTGCTGTGGATCGAGAAGCTCGACTTGGGCACACCCCTTTTCCTGATGTCATGGAGCAGGTCTTCCACGAAGTGGGCATTGGCAGTGTGCTCTCGCTGCAGAAGTTCTGGCAGCACCGCATTAAGGATTATCACAGCTACATGCTTCAGGTGAGAAGAGCAGTAGGGACCTGACAGCACCAAGAAATGTAACCCCAGTACAATCGCTTATTCTTATAGCAAGTCCTGGGTCTTACTGAGGTAAAATCCGATTAGAAAACCTCTTGGGTGTGAGGGGAGTCATCAAAGAAAAGAGAAGCAGGATTTTTTTGACTGGAAGACAGAGCCCCTTATTTGTGTCCCTGCTGAGGCTAAGAATGCTCTCCTGATGGTTTGTCTGGGTTTAAGAGGAGGCCCCCAACTCTTGAATGGCCCAGACAAAAATATCGAGTAGAGGTAAGATCAGTACTGACTGATTAACTAAATTTTTTGCTTTAATGGGATATTTGGCTGCTTACCATTTCAGAAAACAAGTAAGCAGACAAACAAAAATTACTAGGCTGTACAGTGGCTTGTGTTCGCTTAAGCGAGGGGTGACTTGCTTAAGCTTTAGGAGTAGGGTAGTATTGTGCTGATCTCAATTGTCACACAGGTGCTACCTTCCACTCTAGAGGGGACTGTGCTTCTGTGGAGAAAGAAGAGGAATTGTTAAATTCCTTGGAATAAGAGGTATCATATAAACGTAGGTTGTAAGAATAAGGGTATGGTTTCTCTTGGTCCAGGTATTCTGTGAAATTAAACATATGCATTTTATTTGAATGATATAAGACTGCCTTTTGTGGACTTAGAGAAATGCAAGGATTTGAAGTGGGAATTTTACTCCTACTCATCAAAAAACAAGACTTGAATCAAGTAAGTAGCACATGACCAAAGGCAAAACCTGCCATCCCTTCCTCCTTGTCACGTTATCTGAGTGCCAGTTGACTCATCTTGGAGCAGCTACCTTGTGCTCCTTTTGCCAGGGTTGGCACCTTATGACTTACAGAGGCAGTATAAATCAGAGACACCTGTAAGTGCACGTAGTATGCAAATTGTGACGGACTCTGAGGTTTGTGCATAAAAATAACACCATCAAGATCTGTCTTCATTAAAAACATTTTTGTTCAAAAAAACAGTTCTGTTCATTTTTGTTCAAATGTTTTTGTTCAGATGTTGTCTCCTTTTGGAATTTGGGTTTTCTGCATCACTCTGCTGATGCGGTTCACTCTCATCCTGCAGCTAGTCATTGTCTTATTTGTTCTGTATCTTTATGCAGGGCTGAGGTCCACAATAGCCTCTGTATTTGGAAGTATATCTAGAAGGGGGAAATAGGCTTTGCTATTCTTTTTCCTTCTTGCTTTGTCTGTTAAAAAGCCTTGGGCTTTTCCTGAGCACAGTTCACTGACTGTGGGGATTCAGTGGTATAAAGAAGCATTTGTTAGAAGCAGATGGAATCTGAAATTTTTAATTTAATTTCTTACAGTTTTTAAGTTTCTAGAAGTACAGCGTAGTTCTAAATCCCATTCCTGTATTTGTTTCATTTCTCTGACTGGAGAAAACTTCTGTGTTTTTTGTTGTGAATCTGACAGAAGGTACCCAGGCTTTGCCCAGTGGTGACTACAGAGCTGATGAATATCTGAGCTGCTTGTTTTTTAATGCTGGAGTAAATTTGTTACTGGTGGATGGGGGACAGTCTTATAGGCAAAACCAAAGAGTAAGACTGAGACACTTTGCTTTTGTTTCACACTCTGTTTAAATTTCTGGGCCTCACCATCTCTCTCTGTGAAATAAAGGTGCTCATATTTATCAAGCAGATATGTTAATGGATTAAACCTCTTATTAAAGTCCATTGTTACAGGACAGAGGCGTTCTTAAAGGGGAGAAAAAATCTTTCCTGTGTATCTGGTAACCTGTTTACTTGTTCATTCAGGTCAGATGTTAATAATATTCTGGGACCAGAGCGCACTACAATGTAATTGCCGTCAGAGTCTCTGAAGTCACTCTGACCTTTCTGGCCTCTTTTTCACCCCCACTGGTCTTTGACAGGTTAGCAAGCAGCTCTCTGAAGAATATGAGAAGATTGTCAACCCTGAAAAGGCAGCAGAAGACACAAAGCCTGTGAAGATTAAGGAGGAACCTGTTAGTGATATTACTTTCCCCATAAGTGAGGAGCTGGAAGGAGATCTGGCTTCTGGTGACCAGTCTTTGCCTGTTGGAGTCCTTGGAGCTCAAAGCGAGCGCTTCTCTGCCAACTTGGAAGTAGAAGCTTCCCCGCAGACTTCAGGTAGGGGTTTCTTGCTACTCCTGGAAACAGTCCATCAGCAGTTCCATGTGATCTTGTTTCCATTTTTAATAGCAGATCCCAATGTGAGGAAGGAGAACGAGAAGAAATTTTTAGGATTTAGTAAAAAGGTTTGGATGGGAGGGAAACCCTTGCTTGCTTTTCTAAATACAAAACCAAAGACTCGAAGGTATCAATTACAGGGATTTGTTAAATATTTACTCCATTCGTGGACCCTGTAGAACACAAAATGCTTTATATGGTGTTTCTTTTTAGGGGATGGTTAAAGTTCTTGGTTTTGTTATTGGTGTGAGCTAGATTGTTTTTCTACAGTGATGGCCCAAGGGCTTTATTGTTGTTTTCTGAACTAAGGTATTTACTGCAGACGCGAGTACCGCGTTTTTTTTTCCAGTCTAATGTAACAAAGACAAAAATAACTTTTGGGTTTATATATATGTATATATTTTAGTTTAAAAGGGACTAGAGTTTTATCCTTATTTCTAGTAGGGAGAGTACTGGATTTTTTTTTTTTCTTTTTTTTTTTTGGGGAGTTTTGGATTTTTAGGGGATGGTTAAAGTTCTTGGTTTTGTTATTGGTGTGAGCTAGATTGTTTTTCTACAGTGATGGCCCAAGGGCTTTATTGTTGTTTTCTGAACTAAGGTATTTACTGCAGACGCGAGTACCGCGTTTTTTTTTCCAGTCTAATGTAACAAAGACAAAAATAACTTTTGGGTTTATATATATATGTATATATTAGTTTAAAAGGGACTAGAGTTTTATCCTTATTTCTAGTAGGGAGAGTACTGGATTTTTTTTTTTTCTTTTTTTTTTCTGGGTAGTTTTGGATTCTTGTCCAGAGGTTCATGTTACTGAAAAGTTGAAGGCCATGTTCCTTGTGACTGGAGTAAATTCAAGACCCTATATAGTTAGGTACTGAATGAGTTATGGAAATACTAATGATACTTGGTGCAGTCCTCCATATTCAGAAGTCACCCTGGTAGTGACAATCATTTTTTATGAAAGCTTATCAGTGACTTACGTGAAATGGGCTCATGGGAGTCTCTCCTATTCTAGCATCTCTACCCCAAAGCCTGCTGTAGTTAGCTGAGGCTGTGGAAAGTAAAATGGTGAGTGAAGTAGTGGGGTTATGGAGACTGCACTCTTCCTCAAAGTGTCATCCTTTGATGTTGGCATTGAAGCACACTGGTGGCCAGCATGGGAGAATCTGCTACTGCTGTGCCTTTTCTGTATCTATATACAAGTTTTATTCTGTGCACCGCTTAGTAGTGCTAAATTCTCTGGAAAATAAAGGCGACATTCTTCTCCCAAAGAAAGCCAGTTTTGATTTTTGTATAGAACCTTCTGAACTCTGGAAATCCCTGCAATAATAACTTTCACTTAAAAATCTGGTTAAAAACAATGAAGCCTGTCCTCCTATTAACCCTAAACTAAGTAGCATATATTAGTGAGGTTAGAGTATACCTCTGAGTCCATTAGTTGTTTTTTTTTTAAACAGCACATTCTGCTGAGTTTTAAAAAAACCACAAATCCATCTGATGTTTTTCTGGAAGCTCATATTGTTTTCCATAGTACCTCTGAAATGTGAAGTGCTCGCATTTTTGTGGGAGAGGGAACAGCAGACTCCTCTGGCCCATGTGGGGTTGCGAGTGATTCATCTGGAAGCTTTGCATTAGCATCTACCACTTGAGACCCAGAGGTTAGCACACTAGCTGTATATTAAATGCCTCTTGCCTCTCTGATACTGAATTGATGTTTTCTAATTAAGAATACAAGTGCTCTGTTCCTCCCTGAAAATCCCTCTTCACTTCACAAGGGCCTTTGGAAATCTCATCACTGTGAGAAGTCCCAGTCTAGAGCTGGGCAGGCTGGAGAGCATAATATCGTAAGAAGCGAGAAAAAGCTGCTGCAATTAGGACACCACCATCTCGAAAATACAAGTGTGAGGCCCGTAGAGAAGGCAGCAAGGCTTCAGTGTCTGAGGGCAAAACTGTCATTACAGCCTTCCGTGTTCTGCTTGTGTTTCTGCTTATGCCTGACGTTGCGGTTGTGGGTTAGCTGCTTAATTTCATTGCAGTTGGGGAAATGGAGGCAAAATTGGGGACCTTGTTCCTCCACCCAGCAGGATAACATGAGGATTAGCTCATTTGTAAAGTACTTCGAAGTTGAAGTGCTTTGAAGATGAAACGTCTTGTGTCGATGCTTAAGTACTTTTAGTCATTAGTGACACTCTCAATGACAGGTGATAGAGCTGAAAGGAATAAGGCTGAGCAATGAAGCGCAATTCATGAAAGAAAGACACAGTTAAGTTTAGTGAGCATCTTTGATTATTGCGTAGACTGGAGCTGCAACTCTGTGGAACTGATAGCGTTTTAATGATATGTCCATTGTTGTTGAGAGGAATACATTTACTTATAATTAACATAAAAAGGACTTTTCATTAAGGCAATTGGACACCAGCAAGCACTTTCATTCTGGCTTGCTGTCTAACTGCCGAGCTAACGTAGGCTGTGTTACCACAAAGGTCTCCTAAACCCTGGTTTGGGCTAAGCTGCTCTGGAAAAGATTCCTGACTCCTTCATAAGAGAGAATTCTCAGTACAAACATGTGGTGGAAGATTTGTTCTCTGTCTAATTGCTAGTAGTAAGGGACTATTGTTAGTAGTATATTGATAATAGGGAATAGTAATAGGTTTGGCTCAGTGTAAGAGGTTTGGTTGTGCTTTCAAACTGTAGCCAAGCTCCTTGAGACACAAGGTTTGGAAAACTTACTAAAACTGGTTTCCTAGGGTTTGGTTTTTTTTTAATTTTCCATGTGAATTTAACCCCACACAAGAGGGATCAGATTTAAAAGTGAGAAGATTTCAGGCTTTGTTCGGTTCTGGGCTGTTTATGCCCATCTCAGCAAGGAGCCAAATTAGTGTATTTTTAACAGGATTTTTGTCTCTCTTAAAACTGTAAATAAGCAGAAATAATGCGATCTATAATTACTGCTCTTGGGGAGAAAAACACTTGCTGTTATCAAGAAATATGGTTTCCTAATCTTGTACAGAAAATCCTCAATCTGCTCAGATTGCACACTAGTCCAAAAGTTTTTAAAAAAAAAGGGGGGGGGGGGGGGGTGGGGGGGGGGGTATTTTCCATCAGG